TCCAGTATTTTTTTAAACTACAATTTTAAATTCATTGAATTATCTTAATTTCATTGGTTTTCTCCAATTAAAATAAAAATAATTGCAAAAATAAAAGCCATTTAAATTCTGAAATAGAAGAAACAATAAATTTTCCTTTGTTATATAGCTACTCCTGGAGTTTTTGGAACTACTGACAGTAAGTGAAGTTGTATTACTTTTTAGATATAAAGGGTGATTTCACTTTAAATACAGAAACTGCAGGAATAGATTAGTTGCCAAAAAATAAGTGGAGTTTGCTCTATAAACATTTTTCCTGGGGGACGTGGTATTCTAGATACAGGATGTTCAAGTTTCCAAAAAAAAAAAATATATTTTCCGTCATATCTTCATATTGTGCTAAACGATTTAAATGAAATTTACTACAGCGTATTCACTTAATAAGACGTTGTATTGAATATTGTAATATTAACCTCGTGGCATTAACCAGTTTCGTGCTACTGAAGGTGCCGCTCCATTTTCCCAAGAAAAAAATTCGCAACTGGCGGTTTTTTGTAGAAATAATGTTACATTCGGGTATTATTATGTTAAATGAATGAAAAGTGTCTCTTGGTGTTTTTAAATAGTAGTAGCCGTTTAGGAGATAAACAGTACCTGAATATAACAATATTTCTACAAAAAAAAACGCCAGTGGCGTATTATTTTCTTGGGAAAATGAGGCAGCATCTTCCGTAACACGCCACTGGTTAAAGCCATCCTTAAGTGAATACGCTGTAGTAAATTTCATTGAATTGCATCATGAAGGTATTGCAGAAAAAATATATTTTTTGGTAAACTTTCGCACCCTGTGTCTTGAATACCGAGTACCGCAGCAGAGTTTACAGAGCAAACTCTACTTATTTTTTGGTATTGCAGTTCCCGTATTTAAAGTGAAATCATGCAAATTCTCAGCTGAAAATTTGAACCAACTATTATTGTTCAAGATTTTATATAATTCATCTAAATTTCTTCAGTGTGTACAACTAACTTTTCATATTTATTGTCTTTTTTATTTTTGATATATTGCATAGAAAAATCTTATTTTCAGGCTCTGACTTTGGTTCTTATCCACAAAGTGGAGATTAGTATAAGTACCTCTACTATTTTTTTTTTCTCAAAATCATTTTGATGCAATAATTTTACAATTATTAAATGACAATGAGATACTAAGAATGTTTAAAAAAGAAAATTCAGATACTCTACTTGGTTAGGTTTTTTCCCTCAAAATGGAGGAGTAAATGCTTTGAAGAGATTTATTTTAATATTGCTGTATTATTAATTATTATTTATTAAAAACGTAAAGAGAGTTTGTTCCTTTTCCGCACAGTGGAGATTAGTGTACCATTTTTTTGTCAAAATCAGTTGATGTAATAATTTTACTGGATTAGTATACTAAAAACCAAAAAAATTTCAGGTACACATACATCTGGAAATAGATTTGGTTCTTTTTCACAGAGTGGAGGTTAGTATACTTTATTTATTTTTTTTTGACAAAGTTACTGGGGACAGTTATAAAAGAAAAATAATTTATTGACTGATTTTTTTTTTACTAGAAAAATATTAATCTCAAGTGTTATATTTTGCCAAAAAACTGTAACTGCAGTAGCAAAAGTAAAACTAGTAGTAGTAGTAGCGTAATAAAATATGACTAGTGCACGAAATAATTGATAATTGAAAACCTATTTCAATTTGTAATAAATATTATATCAAAAGATGTAGGTAGGTTCCTAAATAATCTTAGATTATATACCTACTATACCAAATTTCCTTTATTTAGCTTCACTCACTCATTTCTTTCACAATTTAATACTCACGGTTTACATACCTACTGACAATTTTGATACTTCCCAACAACAAATTTCAACTTTTTATATTTTTCACTGTGTTTTGAAATTTTCATGGGTTTCTATGAACAGTATAGTATCTTTAAGCTTCTAAGAAGATAGAAAGTAACAGAACATACTTTAGAAACATCATGAAACAAATAAGAAAACAAATGTATAAGCAAAGTACACTAGGGTAACTTTTGCTACAATACATTATTCTTTTTTTTGACATGCAAATAAATACTTTTATTAATTCATTTAGTTAAACAAAAGTAAAATGTACAAGAGCTAATAATAAAATATACAGGGATGNTTACATCAGTTGTTGAAAATGCCCTCCACCTGCAAGGATACATGCTTCAGCTCTTCTTCTCATATTAGTGCGGACTCTTTGAAAAATGTTGTCAGTGTTCCTTATTACATCACAGGAAGCTCTTATGCGATTCCTCAGGTCTTCTACAGTGTTAACCGGAGTGTTGTATACTCGAGTTTTCAGATGCCCCCATAAGAAGAAGTCCGCACTATTCAAATCTGGGGACCTGGGGGGCCATTGTTGGGATCCACCATGGCCTACCCATCGGTCATGAAATGTGGGACGCCACTGGTTAAAAATGAAAATTCGTTTATTATGCAAAAGATGTGTCTCTGCACCTAGTTTACACATACTGAGTTTTTTAAAACTATCTAATTTAGTTTCGGAGTTCATCACCCTGTATGTCAAAAATAAAGCGAAAACGGACCTATGTTTATATGAACTTTTTGTCTTAAAAACACACAGATTAACACCCTTCAATATTGACATCCAGTTATGAAACACCCTGTATATAACCCCATAAGCTTTTAACTTCATAACTAACCCCATCACCCTGTAATCCGGAGCCTGTAGCCTTATAACTCCGTAAACTCTACCCAGGGCATGCAAGCTCCTGTAGACTCATGATTCCGTGATTATACAATCGGTAGTTTTTACTATCAAAATCGTTCAAATAACAAAATCCATTGTAAAATCTATACAGTGTGATTCACTTTTTATGATTAGAACTTTAACCATCGGTAGATCTCGTCAAAATAATATCATTTTGAAGTAAGTATACACTTTTTCTTCCAAAGGCTTTCTTTTAGCAATCTAAGCTCTTGAAAAAATATTTTTTTTTTTTGGTTTTTATTTATTTTTTCCAAAATTATGAAAGCCATTTATTTTATATTTATTATGAAGTATACGAATGAAAAGCTCTATCGATTTTTTAAATTATTGTGAAAATAGATTAATTATAGGCATCCCTAAGGGGCTCTGATAACCCTTATTTTTAATATAATCTGTACACCATTGGAAATTTTTGAAAATGAATATAATTTTGAAAATGAAAATATTTTTTTACATTGCGGTTTATTCTACAGCAAAAAGATCTTACTATTTTTAAATTAGAAAAATTTTGAGAAAACTGGCTTATGGTTTCCTTACATGTGAAATAGTTAAGTTTTTCAAACAAAGAAAAAGATTTAAATACTTTACTCGACACCTTACTTACTGACTTCTAAGGAGAAATATGTGGATTCAGATGGATGGCGCCCCGACTCATTAACAATTAGTTGGTGGCTCGGGGAGCACAATCCACGTCGTTGGATCGGGCATATTTTGGAGATGAATCATTCAGAACCTGGTATTGATCCCATTGCTTGGCCGCCACGATCGCCAGATCTAAATCCGATGGATTATTTCGTTTGGGGATTTATTAAAGAAAGGGTGTATAGTTCACCAGAATTGAAAATAATTGTAAAACTCTTAAATAGAACCCCAACAGCAGGAGATGATTAAGAGATCAGTTCAAAGCTTAATTAGGCGATGTGAGAAATGCATTGAGGTTCAATACACCATTTTGAACATTTGTTGTGATACTTTTTCTTTTGTTCTCTATTGTTAATTGTTATTTCTGTTTGTTTCCCAATATCGAATATTTTATTCTGTATTACTTTGTTTGAAAAACTTAACCATGTCACATGTAATGAATCCACAAGAAGCATTTTCCTCAAAAACCAAGCATTTAAAAATAGTAAGATACCTTATTGCTGAAGAATAAACCACAATGTAAAAAAATATATTCATTTTGAAAAATTTCCAGTGGCATAGAAATTATATTAAAAATAGCCCCTTACAGACACCTATGATTGATTTATTTTTAATTATTTTTATTTTTAATAATTTGTAAAATCTATAGTTTTTCATTTGTATACTTCATACTAATAATATAGTTTTAGAAAAAATAAATAAAAACTAAAAAAAAATTTTTTTTTTGAGAGGTTATATTGCTAAAAGGAAGGCTTTGGAAGAAAAAGTGTATACTTCAAAATTACATTATTTTGATGAGATCAATCCATGGTTAAAGTCCTAATTATAAAAAGTGAATCACCCTGTGTATTTACGAACGAGGTTTGTTTTATTATCTGTGCAATTGTGAGAATATGAATGATAAAACCAAATTAATTCATGATCGCAGAGAATTGAAAGATGGAGGATAACAACAACGCAACTATTACAGTTAAAGTCATATAGGATATAAGTTTTCATATACAAATTATTTTTTATCACTGTCACTTTATCCAGAATTGCTAAAATTACAGATTTATAATGTCAATCAAATAACAATTTCACTTTAAATTAACAATCCATATATACAGTGTGTCCACGGATTGAGTGTATGGGGGTGTAAATGACAAAAAATTTTCGAGTTGAAATTTCAGATGATGCCCATCTCTGCTTGGCCTTGAACTAAGAAGTTGAAAAGATGTGTCCAATTAATTAATGTACAGGGTGTTTTTACGATGAATTTTGAAAAATTGTCATGAGTAAAGTACCTTTGTTTTTAAAAATATCAAAAATATTGTCTTAAGAAAGTCATTGAAAACTAAAGGTTATGACAGATTGTCAACTTTCAATTTGATCGTCCAACTTTGTTTTTTTTTGGAATTTTGAAAATTTATCGTAATTAATTAATTGAAATAATTTTTTCAATTTCTTATTTTATAGAAGCTTAAATTTCAACTCAAAAAATTTGTGTCTTTTACGCCCTATGCCCACTCAATCCGTGAACACACTGTATATGCCTTCATTTACATATATTGATAAATAGAAGAAATATATTTTTCTTTATATTGCAGGTAGAGCTGTACGTTTTGGAGCTAAAAATATAAGTAAGTATATACCTATAATGTAATTAAAATCATTTTATCAATTCTGTTAGTTAAATATTTGTTATAAACGAATATTCTTATGTATTCTAGCAGTTCAATTTGGAAGCTCTCAGGGTAAGTAAAACTTAATTATTACTGTAAAACTAATTATACAACAGTTATAAATTTGATTGCAACAATGAAGTTTAAACAATATAAATTTTATTTAGTCCATGTTAATTTAAAATCATTATAGATAGTAACACAATATTGTGTATCGATGTACAAGTTAAAAAAGTCTAGAAATTATACAATTTGCCATTTGTTGATCAAATTTAAACTTTCAAAATGAAATAAATTTTATGCCAGGCTGTAATACAAACAGTAAAGAGCAGAATGTGCATCCTATTTCTTAAATATTTAAAATTAAGGCTAAATAAAATTGGTACTACTGATTGAAAGAAATTAAAAAATAATTATGTATCTCTAATCTATTGGACAAATTATTAAAGCTAGGGAATTTATCACAATTTTTTATTAACAATACCAGGATAACTTGGCCGATTTCTTGATCAATTTATTGGGAGAAAAATTGATAGATGTGAAAAGTTTTTTAAGAAATATTTCAAAATTTCAATGAAAGCGTGTTGTACACTATAAAGATCAATCTTACCAGTTGTCTGACTCTTTGTCTTTTTTGATATTCTTTTTAAATACAGAGTAGTTATAGTACTAAAGCAATAATAGTAGTAGTAATAGGAAAATTAGTAGTCTAGTAATACTGGTAGGTAGTAGTAGTAGCAGTAGTGCCAGTAAATGAAACTAGTAAATGAAAATTAAATTGGATATTTGTTTTAAAATAGAAGCAAAAATAAATTTTGTGTACCATTAGCCTTTACTGAACTTTTTGGAAATAAATTCCATGACTGTTACTCAAATTTTTTTAAAATATGGCCATAATTTTTGGTTATGGTAATCCGATGAAATTTATCGAGTAGACCATGGAGACAATATCGAAAAAATTTAAAAAGTCATTTGTGAGGTAGTCAATATTTATAAACAATTGTATGCAATGTAATTATTCCGCAAGTTATCTTTCTCTATTTTTCTGTATTATTAAGAAGCGAAACTTATTTATATGACGTCTATGTCATATTAAAAAAATTGTGACTATACTTCTGATGTAACTGAGATACTTCGGTGGTATTATTTACTTGGCCATCTGGTATACATTTCAATAATATAAGGTGTCCTGTTGAGGGAATACAAAAATTTACCAGGTATAATTGACCAAAATAGGGCAAAAACTACTAATAAATTATCTATCGTATAGGTACATTATTAGCAGGGTCACCATTGGGCCGATAACAAGTGATTTCTTAAGCTTAGCGGAATGTTGTCTAATAAACTATAAAAGTTATTTTCTAAATAACTGATATATGTTTTCAATTTTAGAAGAGCTTTAATAATTTGTATAGGAAAAACAATTCTATTAAATGTTCATCCCCAGATGTTTAGAGAAAATCCCTTTTGAAAAGCTGGAAGTTGTAGACTATTGATATATTTGGTAGCTTGATTGTTCCAAATGATTTTGAGTGGTTATATATACAGGGTGTCTCACATTTAAATAGCAGGACTTCAGGAATCAGTAGAAGACCTCATTTTGAGTCTAAAAGTTCCTATATATATATATGTCCTAAAACGCTTTGTTTCTGAGATACAGGGCGTTCAATTTTATTTTTGTTTNAATCTTTCCTTGGAATTCTATCTCAAATATTGTACAGACTGTATATGATGTAGAATGTGCCACTAAAATTTGGGCAACTATCTTAGTTACGCCCTGTATTATGTTTATTTTTATTTCAACCTATTCGGGTAAGTGAAATAAATAAATAAATGAAAATACATTTTAGGGACTAAAGTGAATGTTTAAATAAACTAATTATTTTTTTTATTTATTGCAGCAACTTCCTTTACTTTTGGATGTCCTCAGGGTAAGGGAATTTAAGTTCGTTTTTATTAACAAATTACTTTAATTTTCACAAAAAATGCTTATAACATTCGGTAAGTTTTTTATGTTTTTAAATAATTATATTTCTTATTACCCATCTAAATGGAGAATTTAGATAACTTGTTATTTTTTCAAAGGCTATTGCGGAAAAAAAATAAAAAATAACATTCTATAGTTAATTTCTTTTAATTCTCCGGAAATGTATGAAAAGAAATATGTTTTTCTTTAGATGTATTAAAAACTAAGAAAAATTTCAGATACACAAACATCTGGAACTGCCCCTTTTTCGCAAAGTGGAGGTTAGTATATGATTTTGTGAAAATTATTGCATAGCGTTGCAACTAAATGCAACAGGCATATGTCTGGGTTTGGGGTTAGAACTCCTTCCATGTTTGAATGTTTCCTTACATATTTGAATATGTAAGAGGAAAAAAATTAAAAAAATAATTTTTTGATTATTAGTGTACCATTTTTTTAAAAATGATTCGATACCATTGGCACATTCAGTGGACTAAGTTTGGAGGTCAAAATCCTCCCACGTCTATTTTATTTTTGGCTATGAGGAAAAGAAAAAATATTAGTCTCGAGTTATTATATTTCAACAAAAATCAAATACTGTATATAACTAATTGCAACTGTAACTGTAGTAGTAAAAGTAGTAGTAAAAGTAGTAGTAGTGTAGTAGTATAGTCTATCCGAAGTCAATTGAACATGTATAAAAACATCTTACAATAAAATTAAATGAGTTTCAGACTGTATGTTATGTACTTAGAATGTGCCACAAAAATTTGGGCAACTATCTTAGTTACACCCTGTATTATGTTTATTTCTATTTCAACCTATTCAATTAGGTAAGTGAAATTATATATTTTTTAGTGAGAAATAATTAAGTTAATAACGACATTGATGTTGACCAGTTATGACAATCAGTTGTGTTGTCTTGCAAAAATGGATTAGGGACACAATAACAGAAATTGTACTATTGTACGCAGGAGCGCTAATGGCTCCATATGTCGTGTTGACTCCCAACTGTGCCATTCAAATGGATACAGTAGGAAGCGACCTTCTATATTGCAGGTACTTGTTGCACGACTGCCACCCACAGAGGGCGAAGACAATGTTTTAATTTGTCAGTGTTGCGAGAAACAACTACTCCGAGGGCTGTATGCTCCTACCGGCATTGAATTATACCCGCAACACCTAGTGCAACAACTATAGCACACTGATGAGGACTAATAAGTCCGAAACCGGTCTGTGTCTGGTGGGTTAAACTGGCGAATGATCCTAGTTGTTGCACTAGGTGTTGCGGGTATAATTCAATGCCGGTAGGAGCTTATAGCCCTCGGAGTAGTTGTTTCTCGCAACATTGACAAATTAAAAGCAATTGTACTATTTTTATACAGATTAGGCAGCAGTTCTGAGGGGGAAGGAGTTCAGAATTTGGGATCGGTGTGTGGGTATCTTTAGCCTATAGAAGTTCGTCCACTAATCAAAAACAGTTCTTTTTTATGTTTTCTAAAGTGAATGTTTAAATAAACTAATTATTTTTTTATTAATTGCAGCACCTTCTTTTACTTTTGGATGTCCTCCGGGTAAGAGAATTTAAATTCATTTTTATTAACAAATTACTTTGTGTATTAATTTTCACCAAAAATGTTTATAACATTGGAGAACTTTTTTATGTTTTGGCAATAATTATTTTTCTTATAACCACTTCTAGATGGAGAATTTAGATAATGTATTATTTTTTCAAGGCCTATTGTGGGAAAATATTAAAAAATGACATTCTAGTTCATTTCTTTTAATTCTCCTGAAATATATTAAATGAAATATTTTTTTTAGCCTCCTCAACATCTCCGGATGCTGAGAGTAAGTAAAAAAATTTAATATTAACCTAATAATAAAATAATGTGAATGTGTAAAGTTTTGTATTGTTATTTAAATGTAAAATTAATTTTTCCTGTACTGTGTAATCTGTAAATATATGTAGAAGTGAGCTTATTTTTCATGTAGATAATACTCTTTTGGGGCTAATAGTAGTAGTAGTAGTTAGGGGGTTAAATTTAAATAAATATTAATAAAAACAAATTCACAAATTATTCCTTGTGCTTGTGTAAAGTGTAGGATTTGAATAATATACTGGTTACATTAGTGTCCAGATGCTTTAAGTGTAATCTAATAAGATATCTTTAAGGCCTATTAAGATATCTCAAAAAATATAATATCTACGATTTCCCATCTTCCATTAAAGGGAGATTTTCCTTATTATTAATTTTTGAAACAAAGTTTATATAAACACGCATAATAAATATATTTTGTATATATCGAGAAAAATTGGGGATGCACTTCTGTAGACCTAGCATGAGGCGATGTTTGTATTAATCGATCTGCTGGGGAACGTTTAAAACAAATGAATATATCCTAAAATAATTATCACCTTGTCTAAAAAATGAGTCCTTTGCAGGCCTACGTTCATATAACTTTCTAATCACTAAGGCTGTCAGAGAGAGCCGCAATTCACTGGCGTGCCAAGCAGGTTGTTGCTTTTTAATAAATAATGCGTACGTCTATGTCCGACGGTTCAGTTTTGACAGCCTTACTTATCACCAAGTCGGAGAACAATTGTACAATTTTTTTTTGTGAAATATTGCATCTTTGTATTTTTAAGTTATCTTGTTTATAAAGATGAATTCTCTTTGTATACAAAAATTGAAATAAACCCTGATTATTGTTCATTTAAAAATGAAACCTATTTATCATTACAGATAAAAAATCCAAATTAGAAAAAAAAGAAGTAAAGATTTTTAGAGCCAATCGTCCCTTTATTATCATGTTGCAGTTAGAAAAAGATGATACAACTCTAATCCTGTTTCAAGGTTATGTTTGTCGACCTAGTTATTAATTGTAGGGATATCTATAGTATTTCTGTATTCCTGCTAGAAATTCTTATGCAAAACGAACAGAAAATGTAAATTGCGTATAGGATTTGAAGTGAAATATTGTATTAGACTAACTATTGAAGCTATAAACTTTCAATTTGGTACAGTGCAGTTTCCTCTTAGTAGCTACATTTATGTTAAATTTGAACAAAATCGAACCAGGGGCATCAGAATTAATAGGATTCTGATGGGTTTCAATGACCAAAAAATATAATTTGACGTAAAGATTTTGCAGATTTAAAACAAAAGTCTAAAAACCATGGCAGCATTTTACACATTTCTAGTATCAGAGCATACGTGAAAATCAGAATAACAATAATAAATTATCTACCAATTCGCATTTATTTAAATGAAAGGTAGTCGGACGAGTAGTTTCAATTTTTCTGTGTAACTGTAGAAAAAACCTGTAATTATTGAAAAATAACAAATAATTGACTTATCTAGAATAGGTTGCCGATTAGCTCTTAAGATTATTATGCTCTTTGTATTTTATGTGCACACAAAAATTTTGATGTTATATGGTCTATTCAGATTTGCAAAACTTCAAACTTTGAATTTCAAATAGCTTTATTTTGACAAACGAACTACTCTTAATTCGGACGCCACTGGCTTATTTTTCCAGTTATTATGAGGGAGCTGGACTGTAATAAATTGGAAGTTAATGTTTGTATTTTTAGTGGTTCAATGGCAACTCATCAAAAAATATGTTTCACTTCCAACTTTTGAATGATAAAGCCCTTAGGAATTGTTTTACGGAAAGTTGTATTTCTATTATTTTGTATTTGACATAGAGAATTTAGTCTCGAAGATTGTCGTAATGTTGCTGTTAAACCCTATAGGTATATATTTCACCAATTACTTAAAAATCAGGTAGTACACTTTCCTCACATAATTTTGTAAGACTGAAGAATTTGGGACAATTAATAGGATTTTCTTGTCCTTTTTGAAACCAAAAGATAATTAAATATTACACAAATCTTCATTTAACGTGTACTTAGATATATATTCTGTAGATTAGTAATTAATTTTGTATAGAGCCCAATAATCTAATATGTGAACTGATATACATATTTTTTACGTTACCTTATATTTTTATATGTACTTATAAGATTTTATAATCTTCCTAAATATAGACTGTTGAACATGCGTGTTATGTTTTACTTATCTATGTGTTTGTGTAAGTAATAAATATTTTAATCCAAAAATTTCTTTATCATCCATCTATTTAATTTCGATTTTATATAAGAGTTCCCATTGTTTCAATACGTGACAATGAATTAAAAGACAGTGATAACATATGGAAAACCAGGTGAAAACTGAAAACTACAAGTTAACAGTACAGCCATAGAATAGGATATATAGAATTGCTCTATCACGTCAGAAGCGCAAAAATCACTGTTTTTTTTGTCATATTTGAGGTTATGTAGCAATGCCATCTATTCTTTTTGTAAATATATATATAATTTAAAAGTACAAGGCTCCCTCTATCGAATGCCGTTGAGTTTGCTCAAATATCTTTTTTTTTTCGTTGAGATATCACATGTTGAAATTTCTAAGTTTATCAGTTTCTTAATATGCGAAAATCTACTAAGGATCCCTTAGACGTCAATGAGTTGATTGCAGTTCAGAAACTTCATACTCGGAAACCTTCAATCCCTACGAACTCAAACTCACAAACTCCAAATCCACAAACCCACAAACCCCAAACCCACAATACCTAAACCCACAATCCCCAATCTCATAAAACCCGAACCTACAAACTCCAAGCCCACCAACTAAAAACCCACAAACCGTATAGGTATGAAGTTTCTGAATTGCAATCGACTGCTTGATATCTAAGGGATCCTTAGTAGATTTTCGCATATTAAGAAACTGAGAAACTTAAAAATTTCAACATGTGATATCTCAACGAAAAAAAGATATTTGAGCAAACTCAACGGCATTCGAAGGAGGGAGCCTTGTACTTTTAGATTCAACGTATTAGTTTTTTGAAAAATAATAGATGGCATTACTGCATAACCTCAAATATGACGAGAAACAGTGTTTTTTCACTTTTAGGTTAGGATATCTCAAAAACCTGATGTGATAGAGCAATTCTGCTGCCAGATTCGGATTCAGCGCATCTAAATCCTTCGGAAATATATATTCAAGTTTCTGCTTCCATAAAAGTTAAATTTTATTCGTCTGTGTTATTCATTCTCAGGCATTCCCAATGACTCCTAGATTTTTAAATTGAAAGATAAACTTCATTTTGTAATTTCAAGTGTAGACACATAAAAATTGATAAAATTTGAATACAGTGATGCTAATTAAGGTTGCATAGCCAAATTTTTTTAAAGAAAATCTAATTCCGAAAAATCGTCTAAAAAAAATTTCTAGAACGCGACTATATACAGGGCGATTCATTTACTAATGGTACACACCTTAAGGAAAGATTGCTGACGTTAAATTATGAGAATTGAACTTTCCTATGTCTTATTTAAATAATCCTTATTTTCGTTTTACAGGGCGTTAAAGTAAAAAAAAATGGATCTATATGGATTATCTTTAAATTTTGCACTCTCATGGTTTTACAAGGTGGTATTTACGAATATGGTAACTCTGTTACTTCTAGGAGGCCTTAGTTACACTCTGCTGTCAGTGTAAAAATATATTGATAACTTTTTTGTCCTTCGCAAATCTGAATTTCCTGCAAGAAATTATTAAATTGAGTTCAGTTCTAAATAAAAAAAGTATGGGTCGCTAAACTCGACCGTTTTTGAATTACACTACATTAAGATTGTAGAGACTAGGCCAAAATTACATTAAGCAACTATTTGTATAGAGTAGGCTGTGAAATATTGAAACTACTATGTGGTTTGTGTCACTTCGTGTGGAGTAACTTCCATCCTTGTGGCTTTAAAAAAAAAACGTTAAAACGATATTTCGTCACTTCAAATGATAAATATGATATGTCTATGCCCAAGAAATTTCACTTCCACTTGTTCTAGAGGATGTATGATAGTTTAGGATCATCTTTTCGTCCAAAGCTTTTAGTACAAATTGCAGAAAATGTATAATCAAGCACACACCTAATCTCAGCTATTAGGTAGTTGATTAACTCTACTGTTTTCAGAATACTGAAAAAAAGAAAGACTGTATCCTTATCATCTAGATCCAGTCCAATATTTCGCATCGCAATATTGTTAGATATTTATAAGTATAGAATTAAAAGCGCGTCTTTTAATTAAGCCACCTCCCTCTGGTTAGCGAATTTTGTAATGAGAGCGCTAAATTTGAATTTCTTATCAGAGATCTAACAATATCCTCCAAAATTACGGTTTGCACAATTTGTGTCGGCAACAAAATGACGAGCTTACATTAAATCATCTTAAAGTTCTACTTTACAAAATATGTCAAGAACATCTGTGAGCAAAATACAAGAATCAGTTTTAATGCTATCCTGTGATAGTTTCTCTGTAGCAACAAGTAAACTATATTCAGTGTCAGGTTTAACTAGAATAAGAGGTTGTGAAAATGCATCGAATGCATAATTATGTAATAATGTATATTTGTACATAGTTGTACCTAATAATTCGTAAAGTTTTCATATTTCATAGCCTACTGTCATATTTCCAGTACCCCACTTTCCATTTGGAACCAAAAAAGCGAGAAAACGCTTAAAACGACATCACTCGTAACCAGAGTTAAGAACAATGGTCACAAAGGACCCGAAGTACCTGTACGATGTCAGTTCAATTTTTACCGATCTTTCAAAATTTTCCGCCGTCGCGCTCAAAACCGCTCTAGGCAGTCATAAAACGCCCTCTCTACGATGTTCGACGTTGACGAGGGCCGATGCCGTCAAAGGCCCCCTTCCGAACGACGCCGCGCGAGAATTGGATGTTTTCATCGATGTTTCCAATTTTCCCGCCGTCGCCGTCGCGCCTAAAAACAACTTTATGCAGTCCAAACTACCCCGATACCGCAGACCCCATCTCCGACAGCTCGATTTTGGAAATTCAATAATTCGGACCTAGCCAATACCTTGTACAGCATTTAAACAGTTAATCCAGGATGGTATAAAAATTGTAAGATGCGGAAAACCAAAGACACGTAATCCAGCTAGGGTCCAAGGAGCCGAACTAAACCAGCACCCACAAGAGAGACGCCCGTAAGATCTGCCGAGGGTGTGTACGAACTTCTACCCTGGGAATTTGCAGTCCTTTAAACAGGACGGAATCCTGCCCAGTGCTTGCCGCACTATCAAAATTTTTATAACTACATTATATGATATGCAAATGTCTATAACCAATATATATCATCAAACATATGCTCAAAATGCTAGTAAAGCAAAACTATAAAATTCCATATTTGAGTTATGTTTTCTCAGAAAAAATAGCCACACGAGCGTGAGTCCTTTCTACTGCGTAGACCCTTAAAGCGTACACAGTTCTTGAACTGATAAAGAAAACAGCTCTGAAGCTGCCATACATTAGCCTTCCTACGAGGCTCAGTGGAAAAAGCTCCTAAATTTTATAGGCACTCTCGGAGGTGTAAATAACTATTAGAATCTAAAGTTCTCCTTACATTTATCACCACGGTAGCGCAGTCGGTCGAGAGTGCGGTGGCAAGCATTTCTCGGCCAGGCTTCCTATTCTGGTCCGGGTTCGATCCCCGGTGTTGGCACTGTCAATGTCGATAGATAATGGGTGTTTGTCCGCGTTTTTTCAAGTGTACGTAGCCCCCTTCCACACAGCCTTTGGCTTTGGATTTGGGGGTTGTCTCATTTCTGTGGTGTGTTTTATGTTTTTTTTATTCAGAGCAAAAAACTATACAGGGTCAGTCGAAACCACAAAAAAACAAAATTTCTTGGAAACCAAAAAGCAAGTGCAGTGCCTAAGTACGTTTCAGGACACAAATTAGAGCGTGGACCATCATCCACAGGCTAGCTAGAACGTACTGAAGAATTTTTGGCAAATCCAAGGAACTAATCGAGATACGCAGCTAGCTGGACAGCCCATCTTTTGGTTCCATGATAATTTATTATGACGTCACATATTTAGGCAACCCGCAACAAACTGTCATAGTTGAAATTGTGCAGACCAAATCTGATCCTTGCGTACTATTTACATAGATACTATAAAAATGGACAGCTTCAAATTAATTTATTTTTATAAGGATTTAGAAGTATTTAAGTATAACTAACACGTGATTCGTAAAATAGATACACTAAAGTACATAAAACTTACAAAAAAAATGATATAAAAGAATATTAATATTATAACTTAAAAAACTATTGTAAACACCACAGATAACAGGTAAACACTATCGCATCGACGATTATAATATCGGATTTCAGTATTTGGAGTCGCTGAGACCATGTGGCTCTTCACGCGTATTGCGAATGAAGCTAGAGACTAAAGTGGTCCAGCTATGTAATGGTTGAATGTAGGTACTACAACTTCAACAATTTTTTTCTCATAGACTAAGGATTTTACAAACATTTTTTTACGATATTGACTCCATTTCTCATACCGCATCTATTCCCAAATTTTTTTGGATAAATTGTGAATCACTATGTATAATTCTTTTAATTTGGTACTTGGGGTTTGAAACTTCTTAAATATTTCTAATATTGCCAGAATATCGCTATATTTAAGGTCACGACAAAGAAGACATTTTTTTGACACAAGTCCAAGGTACATAAGATCGAAAATCGATCCACTAAAAATACTGAGAAATTCTTCATGACAATGTGTATGCCTATTATTTGGCGTATGTGTCATCACTACTAAAAAGGTCTATTGTTTAGTTCAATTTTGACCTGTAGTCGCAAAAATCTTAATGGTGTGTAATTTTAAAATGGACGAGTTTAGTGACTTTTACCAAGTATATCTTTTTTTATATAGAATTGAACTCGATTTAATGATTTCTTGCAGATTTTCGAAGGGCAAAAAGTTAGGACATATTTTGTACACCGACAGAAGAGTGTAACTAGTGCCCCCTAGAAGTGTGTGTGTGTGTCTATATCTGTACCTCAGAGCTAAACTGTATTAAGTGCCAAAAATAAAATTTTACAGGAGAGAGATTTAAAGATTTAAATTTTGCTTATCATTTCATAACTTCGAACTCTTACTTCTCCTTGACTAAAAAATTAGTATGATGTCAAGTTATACGTCTATTTCAATATTATTTATTGTAATTTAAACAATAATTTTCTATTCGTATTTTATTTCGAAAAAATGGAGTTAACACTATTTGGCACAAACATGATTTAGGGATTTTATATTATAATATTTACTAATTGTGCGATAATACACGATGAATGTGGATATAATACTAAAGTAAATCAACATGATCTTGATATGTGTGGAGTTAGTACTCCGAAGTCAAACTAATAGAATATTAACTCCACATACACCTGTTTGGCTCGGACTAATTTGATGTAACAAGGAACTTAATACTGTGGAAATGAAACACGGTTAATATTAAATACACATACGATTGCCTAACTTATTATTTAGCACTGTCTATCTTCGAAAGTATCTTGAGTGGGAGTTATTACTGTTTAGCACGTGAAAGAGCATAAGAAACTGTGTTGGGCTGTTAAATAATCCCATTTTCGTAAAAAATGGAGTTAATACAGTTTAGCTCTGAGGTACAGACATAGAAATACTCAAAATATTTGTTTGACTTTAACGCCCTGTAAAACGAAAAGGAGCAATTTTCGAGTAAGACGAATTCAATTCAATTGTCATAATTTGACATCAGCAATCTTTCCTTAAGGTGTGTACCACTATTAATGAATCGCCTTGTATATAAAAAAAATAGAGGATATTCTAGTTCTTAATGAGCCACATTGTATGCAACCCATTGTAAAAATCACGTGATACAGTTATAAAAAATTGATTCTGACATGAGTTCGTTCAGAACCTAAATAAGGAGGAAATATATGGTCCAAAATAAAACAAAATTTCTGTAGTATACTTTTTATTAACAATTCTAATTGTTAATTTGTTTAACAAATATGCATACGTACATATAAAGTCAAAGAAAGAGTTGCATAGGAAATAAATTTGACAATTTTATAATATTGCACTTACCGACCCACAAGTATATAGCGCATTACCAAAATAGTGCTATAATTTTTACACTAGCTTCGTATGAAGTGGTAGAAATATTTACGATTTTTCCACAAATAGTTTCATCTTGGTGTGGCATGGAGTAGTTTTCCGTCTTTTCTGGAAGACTTCACTATCGCAACATTTTGATATTTACTTTTTTGTTCTTACACGTAGAAGTATGGATGAAATCAGTCAAGAATCATTTAATTTAATCATTTTAAAATTTACCTCTACTTTAAAAATGAAGACAATGTATACTACAATTTTACATGAAAACTAGATATGTTAAATTAAATCTATCTAAAGAACTTATGATATTTTTATTTCATTAAATTATATTTATGTATATTCTGAAAGTATAAAGAACTTTTCAGTCGTAGTCGTATAGTATAATTATATTAAGGTCGATACAAAACTGTGGAGCTGTTATTATTGACATTACTTTTTAGTTTCAGGTGGTTATTTTTATTTTCCCGAAACCATACTAATGTTTTTTTAATTAAAAACATTAATATGGTTTACTTTACTTTACTACAACTTTAACAGAACATCTAGAATAATTTTGTACTAAACTTCTTAAAAAATATATTTATATGTTTTCATATTATTAACTGAGAAAAAGTAAGATTAAAATAGGAATTACTTTTACAAAATATATATTACTTTACCCAACAAACTAATTCTTTTCTTACAAAAATGATATGTACAATTCAAAATTCTTCACTTTTTGATTTTTGGAACTGATATATCTTTCTCTACACTACGACTCGGAAGTTTTATCGGTTCCTCAGCTCCTTCAACGCTCGCTTTCAAATTCGGTCTGTGTCATAGCAAACATCTTAATTCTTCAATCGCATTTACATATTTTATTCCAATATTCCATAGCTAGTTCGTGTTTTTCAAATAATTTGATTAATTTTATTATTTCACTGTCTAATAACTGCATTTTCTTTTAATAATTTTTTTGTACAAGGAGAGATCCAAAAAAATACTTTGTACAAATTTTAATAAGATTCAGAAATTTACCAAATGGAACATAGAATACTGATAACAAACAGAAAAATGTTTAAACTTTGGTTCAAGATGTATCATATTAAATTAAAAAGAAGACTTGCATTTCAAGAATCCTTACGGTTTGACTTCATAAAACTGTTAAATACGCCACGAAAATAGTAAATATTTTTACCACTTCATGCATAAAATAAATTGCTTCCTATAACTGATAAACCATATTACAATTAAAAATACCCCAGTAAAAAAATACTGCTTATACCATATATCTACCTGCTTAAAATATTTTAAAGACGGCATATTGACAATATATTTTTATCACTGTGCTACAGGATACTAAAAATAAGCAAAATAACACTACATAAACAAAGTTCTGAGAGCACTAAAATCAGTCAGCTTCATAAAAAATCATCACAGTTCATTTTACATTTTCCATTTTTAGAATATTTCTTGTCGATTTCATGTTGTTTCACCTTCTCTTTATTATTCATTGAAATTAAAACGAATAAATATTTCATTCAAATTTAGTGCTACATTTTCAAAATACGACAAGACAACATAAATTTATCATCAAGAAATTCAAATATTAGTCTAGAAAACATACACTTGATTCAATTTATTATTATATGTTTAAAAACTAAAGCCAGCTCCATATGATGTGGTTACTTGCCAAATATTTGTCAAATGTAAACAAATGCCGTAACGTATGGATGGTGCACATCGCACGTGTCACTTGCCAAATGTGCACACAAACGGTTGATGTGTGTATAATTTGGTTGGCCTTATAAATTTTAGCAAATAATTTGCAAATGTTTGCGAGTAGACGCATCATCTGCAGCCATTTGCTTAAATCATTTTTCAATTCAGTACATTCTTCGCAGTTTGCTATTCCGTTCTCCAAAAGTGGTTTAAAAAGTAATGAAGATATGTTGTTTTAACAATTCATAACATGTCAGCTTTTTAATAATTGGGGGTTTATAGAACCTTGAATTTGTTTAATATGTAAGAGTATGTTAAATAATGACATCTATGATGTCATCAAAACAAAAGTAATAATACCTACACAAATCTAGAAACAATATAGAACATATCCGCCATCATGTCATTTAAAGATCAGTTACAGATAATAGTATAGAAGAAAATTTGTTTCTATTTTCTATTAGATATTAATTTCTATTTATACGAATCAAAAAGGGAGTTAAGACAGCCATTACACATTCGGGTAGTTTGAGCCACGAAAATATAAAATCAAGTGATTTAATGCTTAATAAAAAATTAAATTTGTGGTAGACGACCCTCGAAAAAAGTTGCACATATCTTTGTATTTTTTTTTGTAATTAACTGATAAATACATACAACATTGTGAAATATGAAATTTTGCACAAATGTGTCCTTTTCGCGGTCTCACGGTCGGCAACCTATTTTAATATTTTAATCCGCAAAGTCCATTCGAAACTTTTTTGTCATGAAAATTATTTCATTTAAAATGGAACAGGTCTTCATTACCAAAACATGATTTTTTAAATTCTCCTTATCTATTATAAACAGGGAAACACATTTTTCAACGTATTCGACTTACTTTTATTCCTTATTATTCGAACTGATATTGCAGAACTCAGAGCAGCGTAAATATGTCGAAAAAGCTATTACAGTGATACAGTGGCGGCTCGTCAGGTGACACAAGTGACGTACCGCTTCACCTAAAATTTCCGTTTGGTTGTGCAATTTAAAATTATTTTCAATTTTATATAAATTTTATGATTTAGGTATAATTCTATACTGAAAATGTATTGTTTGTTTGTTTAATACCCAGAAGTAAACAGAATAGTTGCGCGCCGAACACCTAAAAAACATTGCCTTCGTTGAGCGCGAACATCAACCTCGTACCATACAACGTACAGTATACGCAAGTGACGTATATCGAAATCAGTCTGTACTTATTTCGCTCCTTTTCGAAGCGTTGTTTACGGCGGTTGTCATGGCAACGAGGCGGCCAACACGGGAGTAAACTACGGCGTGGGGGAACGAGTGACGCGGATATTGAAGCAGCATTGTCATCGCCCAATTCAGATATATTGAATAACAGTGTAAACTTGGAAATGAACATTACCATGAGTCACTTTAATTGTCCAAATTTCATTGTAGTCATGGTAACGACTTAGAAGTTATAATTGCAATTTGTTTTTTAAACTTCTTTCTTTGAAAGCGAATAACACAACGCCCAAATGAAAAAAAGTTTTTATGAAGTACTACAACTATTTTGAGTTCTCCTGTACATCCCTTCATTTTTGACATGACCTTTCCGAACACCCTGTATAAGTTTCTACCTTGACTATTTTATACATTTAGGTGAAATAACTGAGATTTGTTAGTGCTTTGACAGAATTAAATCATTTTAGTTTTTGTTCACGTTTTCGATAAATTTAAATGATTATTTTATCTCTGATATTTTTCAGAAATACTATCCTGTTATCTGTTATTTTGAAATATTACAGGCTGTTAAAGATTTCGAATATTTTATTCTCCGAGTACAAATACGAAACGTACGATGATTTTATCGATTTCGATTATATGAACAATATGGAACATTTCCATCTTCCTCCCATTTTAATTTGTACTGAAATGAATCCTTCCATGAAGCAGCCTTTTCTAGAGAAAATTTTGTAGGTTAGAACCTACAAAATTGAACGTTCAAGATGGCAGACTTTTTGATACATAATTTAAAAAATAATCATTTGCTCTATATTGTTTTTAGGTTATGTGGCTACATGTGATAATAAAGGCAGTTTGAATATATGAAATTAAAATTTATTTGATATCAATCAGGTTCCTATCCTCCTTTCGTTATAATGCATTTTCGAGAATATTGGTCAAACTACCAGATTTTTTAATTTGTATATTGTTATAACCAAGGTTTGGGTTCATCGCTTGTCTAATATTAAACATACAGGTACATTAACGATTAGGAATTTAATGGAAAACGGATTTATCGAGACATATGTTGTTTGAACTTAATAACCTGTCATTGAAAGTAGGTACTTTTGTAATCTGCAGACTTATAGAAGCTTCAATTATACTTTTGTAATCTGCAGACATCTAAGTAGGTCTACTCTATGTGTCAGTATATTCAGCAACAAAACGAACTGTAATTGGACATATAGGTAGAAAATGTTAATAACCTTAAAAATATGTTGTATTCTTTTAAGTTCGTTCAACTCGATTATGATTGTTATAATCAGCTAAATCAAGTTGATTTGGTTGCGATTTAGCAGATGATAGTTATATTTATTAACTTTTATGGAACATCTGTCAGAGATCGGAAAAATCGCATACAAAATAATCTCATGACAATAATTACAATTACAAGATAAGTAAAATAATTATTTAATTGAGATTATTGTTCAGTTGTTCAGTTACAATGTAATAAGTTGTGGGTAGTGTGCTAAAGAATGGGTCGATTAACATTGATGACGTAGTCCGTATAAGAATTTGTCGACAAACGCTTCATTTCCAAAATATAGAGTTGAGTTAAAAAAAATTAAACTTAGCTTTATTTATATCTGGTAAATCTTTATAGTAATTGTTTTCCAATTTTACATGAAGATTATTATCCAGATTTCTATTATCTGATATAGTTTCAATTGAATTGGAAAATCCAGTGACACGAGAACTTTTTTTTAATAAATCATACGCCACTGACTAACACAAAGAAATTGCCATATTTAGAATATGCATATATTTTTCTATAAGAAACGGTCTGTTGTTTTATGTCCATAAAATTTACTATTAAGAAAAAATTAGCCTTTCTTTCCGTTAGACCTATTAAATATATTAATATTATTGCACTCCTAAAAAAACATTCTATTGTAACATGAAATAAAATATATAAGGTGTCCCGTACAAATAATCATAAATTATGTTTGTCACGCTTTCTGAACACACTGAATAGAAAATATAAACATCACTGATTCGTCCAGTTTATAACCACAACTTTTTTATTTACATTTTTTTTAACTTAAAAATCGAAAGGATATCCAATAATATCTAATAACACATTGTGCAGAATTGAATGAAATATTTTTTTTTATATGGATATGAATCAAGATAATGTATCTGTAAAATATCTGTAAATACTATAAATAAATATAATATTTATAATTTAACATTGGCGAGTCCTCTATAATGATATTTGCTCTCCATTTCAACTGAAACTATAACTGTTAACAAAAGCACGATATTATTGATCGAGTAAATCAGTTGATATATAGGTTTTCAACATATAAGTTTAATATTTTTAACTTCAATATCTTAGAAGCGAAGCACATATTGACATATTTTTATATGATCTATTCGGCACTATTCCCGTTAATTTTCATCATAAAATCTAGTGGTAAACCTTGGACCATTATTAAGCAGCATCCTGTACTGCAGAGTACAGATACAGGACATACAGTAATTACATTTAGAGTTACTACAAAATATGATCTGTATGAAATCGTATACCTACATATAGATATAGATGCTTATCTATATCAACGTAAGTTACCCATGATTTTGCATATTTGACCAATTTAATGATTGCGTAATTGATTAAATGACTATTTAGTATTGTTTCTTTCTCTAGAAACAACAAAATTGAGTAGGTAAATTTAGTCATCACATTTAGAAGAACATTATTAGTTCATTACATTATAAATTACATTGCACCTTTAGTTACTTTTTAGTTCATTGTAATTGTAATTATAGGGAAAAACAATGATCACATATTGTTACGTAGTAAAAAATATTAATAATTTGTCTTCATCAGTCTTCATCACTGAATATAGTGTTAATTTATTATGTAGACAAAAAAATATACTTCTTAATACCACATACTCAGTTAACACCCTGCATCCTATTTTTTCCTTAACTTGAAGGTGTATTTCTTTCCTCTGATTTTCACGTTTTATCCAAAATTAGTTTGAGGATACTGGAACATGCCTGATTTTATCAAATTAAACCAGACCAGCATACTTTCCGTTTTGAACAAATTTCAGAGTGTTTCATGTAAACATGTTGTTTCTTTGAGAGACTAAATGAACAAATTGGTTCCAAAGGACAATTTAAAAAATAGTTTGTATTACTTATTTTCATAAGTGAATGACTGCAGTAAATTGCAATCTAGATACCTACTACCCTTTATGATGCAGAAAAAAATGACTAACCAGTTAATCCTGAAAATTCGTTTTACGTCATTTTGTAAATCCTAATTTAGGCACTATTAAATTTAAAATAGGAAACATGTTAAGTTAGCCTAGCCTTGTCTATATTTGTAATTTCATTCGAAGAAAATCCAAGAATGCTCTGGATCGCTTTGAGATGTCCCTGACTGTTTTCCTTGTCTGTCAAAAAGTAATATATTGCAGACTTTAAAAACTGAAGTGTTATTTCTGGATCTATCTTATTTTTACTTTTGGCTTCCATTAGCTGTCTGTACATTGCCTGTAACATAAATAAAAATATATAAGGACATGACAGTAACTAGAAGCAATTACATTAATATTTTGCGTCTAAAAGTTTTTATAGGTATAATAGAATCATTTAGCCATACATACGTAAGTTTAAAATTGTTTATTATTAGTTTGATGTGATCTTTATAACGACTCAAAAACGTATAGTTCAGTGCAGAAACAACAGTCTTGTTTTGGATGGAACATCCTGTATATTTCAGATTTTACTCATTGTTGATATTTTACAATATTAACTAGGTAAGTATGTGGTGAAAATATTCTGTCTATTGAATGCATAATACGTGAGAAAAACATACGTCTTTCAGAAATTAATAGCAGCTTTATATTTTAAATAAAGTAGAAAATCAAAATAAAAATTGTGAGTTCAACATACTGTGTTCAGTACCACACCTAGAAGTTAGGGGGCCTTACGACAAATTTATCTTTTGGGTCATCCTATCTTTACCTTTACTCAAAAAGTAAAATACATAAGTATTGCAGTTGTAAAGGAACTTTTATTTTTGTACATATCAGTGGAGGAAGAAATAAACTTTAATTATAAACAACTAAACATTTTGCCATAACCTAACATGGAAAAAAGAAAAAAATTAGGGAAATAATAGAATAAAAAATTAGAAAAAATGAAAATAACAAAAAAACCATTAAAAAAACACTTCCGGAAGAAGAAGAATATAGCCATCCAAAACGTCTGGAACGTGAATATAATAGAGCTTTACCTTATATGTGAAGAACCACTCACTAATCCTAAAACGATATACTACACGTATAAAAAAACAATAATTGATCAGATAAGTATAACAGACTTGCGGTAGTTTGTGTTTAGACTTCTTGTTTAGATGGAATAGATCTCGAAAATGTAATTTTTCTGAACAAATAAAAATACCTATTGGCTATTGAAATGAATTTTCTTTTGAAGATTTAAGTTATTATTTGTTATATCCACTATTCGAGAAATAAAAATAGATTATTATTATTGTATTGTTTATGCCACATTTAATATTATATAAACTTGGATTGTAATCCAAGTATATATCCGAAAACGAAACAGAAAGGTATAGAAATATGTGCCGGGCTCCAGACAATAAATTAAATAAAAATAGAAATATTACATATTATAAACACCGATCAGATAGGAAAAATACTCTATATCTTTTAAGAAAATCAAGATATCAAAAAATCAAATTTTTCTCAAAAAACTGGAACAACTGGGACAAGATATCTTAACTACAATTTTTGTAGGCTAACTAGGCTTCAGTTAGCAAAATTTCAATTCATATGACATTGATAACACAGCCACACAAAAAAGTACAAGCCCAAGAGAGCCACATGGTAATTTCTGAAGGAATTCAATACGCTAAATATGATCCTGTCGTCAAAATTCATGATTTCACTACAAATTTCGCAGAAAACTGAAATTTTTGGGTGAAACGCCCAAATATGGGTCAAAAATGATTTTTTACCTAACTTTTGTCCAAATACTTATATCATTTTCGTAGTATCTTGAGGCGATGAACACGATCCCAGTAAAATTTACCCGGGCGTGTTTTCATCCAAATAGAGGACTTTCCGCGAAATATCGAAGCCATAGGTAAATTTGACTAACGCATTGTGTTCAGCGCTTCAAAATAATACGAAAATTATATATTTGAACAAAATTTAGGGAAATATCAGTTTTGACCCACATCTGGTCGTTTTAACTCAAAAATTTAACTTTTCTCAGAAAGTCGTGAAGTCATGAATTTTGACTACAGGATCGTGTTTAACGCATCGAATTTCTTTGGAAATGCAATGTGGCTCTCTTGAGTTTTTTGTGTGGCGGTGTAATTGAGGGCAATTATAACAATACTAAATAAATAAATAGACAAATACTATATTTAATTAATAATTCAGGAATTATGAGTCTCTTTATATATTTCGTTGCTAACTAGATTTTCCTTACCTAAATAGTTATTACTTTTTTCTTTCAGTAAGTTGTACAGGATGTTCCATTTAATAATCAAAACAAAAATCTTTTTGTTGTAGAAACATATCTACAAATGTGAATTAAATATCTATAATTTGGTAAGTATACATATATCGTATGTACACATTCATCATTCATATACTAAAAATTTATTTAAAATATGGCTGAACTTTTTCTTTAAACATTTAGACACAATGTAAAGCAAATTTGGATTATTTATTAGCTATGTGTGCCCTAGCCTACCTACCAAGCGTGGTGCATTTTGGCCCTCTAATACAAGAATATTATGAAACAAATTTAATTTCTAACAACAACGAATTAGAAATAAAATTTGTTTTTGGAAAAATTAGTTTACTTTGGGTATCTCATGCAGGTGATGACTACTTTCAAATTTAAGCGAGGTCTAAAATCATGCAATAAACAGTCTGGAGTCTGACGGGCTGAAACTTTTTATTTACAGGACATCTACATAACTATTAGTGATTTTTTTACCATGTTTAGATTAATTTGAAATCGTTCGTACCATAGATACTATTAGTCACTATTAAGTACTTATTTAATTGGAAAATGAGCCGAGAACTCATTCATTTACAATGTTAATACAGATAAAAAACACTTGTATTGGTTTAAAACTGCTCTTAAAAGTTTGTTGTAAATAATATATTAATTTTGAAAAAGTAGGTACCTATACTAAATGTATATAAATATAAAAATATTTACTACTGTAGGTAAACAATATTTTAAGTATATTTCCTGTTATATATATTTATCAGGACTTTAAAATGATTTTTACAAAATAACATTTTATAAAATAAAATAAAGCAAGTGTTTACCGATTTTCATGATTTTTCAAATATTTTAAGATTACACTAAGAAAAATGGAACGTTTACGATAAATATAGATATATTAAAAAAACTGTCTAACATTAATTTTAAAAAGTCATTATTTGAAGAGGCGAATAGGCAAAAATGAATATTTTCTATGACACAAATAGGTACATTTATTTTCTATATTTACATAATAACTATTAAATTATTATTTAAATTAAACATTTTTAGTTTTGTAACTTAAAATATGTTGACCTTCTTTGTTTTATTACTTTTAACAGTTATTTTGTTTAAAAAGTTTACAACCCTTATTTACTTTCCTCCAGCCTGTAAATCTTTTTCCGTAAAATCTGTTTCCAATTAGCGTTTTTTAATCAGGACATTATTATTAAAAAAAAATATTTACATATAATTTTTACCTATTAACCCGAAATAATAATAATAATTTTCCTTTCCTCTCTTTTCCATTTAAAGGATTAATTTTTATTTAATTTAATTTTTTATTATAATTTTTTTATTAAAATTAGATTAAATTTAAACAATTTTTTTTTTTGTTTAAATTACTATGAAATTGACCAAAGTGGGATTAATTCAAGAGCGATTTTCTCAGAAACCGTTAAAGATAACGATTTGAAACAAGAGTACCCTTTTAACGTAAAACAGTTCGGGAAAACGGAATTTGCTGTCCAATTTGTTAAAAAGTCAAAGATGAAAAAGTTACACACGTAAAGTACCAAGGGCCCCCCCGTACCCATTCCAATGGACCTTGTGGAAATAAATGGATTAGTCCATCAAATTGCTCATCAAAATTTAGCTGTGTATACCAAATTTCATTCATTTATCACAACGCGATTGAGAGATATTGCAAAAAAAATGATTTCCATTCCTCCTTCTTCAATGGGTCCCTGTGCCCTTAGGAAGCATTTCCGGACCCATGTTCATATGAACTTTTTTACTTAGTTTTGATCATAGAATCGGCCTGTTCAGGGTTGGCAGCTAATTATGAGACACCCTTTATAAGGAATTTTGACACAAGTCTGCATAGTACGTGACCAAACCGACGTATAATAATAACAATAAAGACATAAAAACCAAAAGTACTGTCTGAAATTACTTATTTGCCGTACGGTTTTCATTTTTTGAGCATCTGGGAATTAATGAGTGTAAAATTAGATTTTTTTTTTATTAAAGGCCTTTCAAAAAAAAATTGAATGCAAGTCGCCGTATTCAAAGGGCTCTAGCTGCCTTAGGAGACGTTTTTGTATAAGGTGATTTTACTTCAATGCGTATAGAAACATCCTCAGTATTTGAGGTTAACGTTTCGAAAATCTGTCTATTATCCGCTTGTGACCTGATAACGATTTTTCGTTATTAATTACTTTTGACAGTTTAAATTTGTTTATTTTTGGCTGTTGTAGTTGGAGATTTCAAATGATGTTTAATTAATTATTACTTACTTCATTTTTTAGTATTTGTAGCATTGTAGCCAACAAGGGTCCAAGTTCACAAAGTAGTAATTTGAAACATATTTCATCGTTCAGCAAAATGATCACGGTTTCCTTTAATATCTTTTAAGGGAATTATTTTGCTTCAAAATTTTTTCCGAACCACTTGATCGCAAATTTCTGATTTCTCAAATTCTCGTTTTTTAATGTAATTTTTGTCTCGTCTATTCTAATATTTACAAATAGAAAGGTCTCCCCAAACATAACGTTTATTGCATTCACAAGGTACCTATGCTATAAATGCAATTTATTTTATTTTGAACATTATACAGGATGATTCACAATTTATTCGAAAAATTTGAGAATAGATGCGTCACGAGAAATGGAGTTAATAATATCGTAAAAAATTTTTTGTAAAATCCTTATCGTTTCCGAGAAAAAAATCATTGAAGTTGTAGTATATAAAACCCTTACATCCCTGGGCTATTGTAGTCTCTAGCGTCATTCGCATTGTGCACTGTACGGTACGCAATTCGCTCTCTTTCCACGTGGCCCCAGTTTAGTAGGTATTACATTACATTTCCAAGTGTCAAAAATGGCGAAGCAAGACAACATTTGTGTTATAGTGAAGTATTTGTGTTATGGTGAAGCAAGACAACATTTGTGTTAGTTCGTAGAAACTGGGTACGACGGGCTTAAATGTGTTTACATCGGTGGACAACACTTGTTGTAACATCAGGTATGTCAAATTATTTTATTAATTAATGCAAACCACTAATTAATTTTATTAATCAATAACAACAATAGCGGCAAAAGCAGTTGAATGTGCAGATATAAAATAGGTCTTATAAAATTGTACCTATTTATTTCTTTCCTTAGGAAAGAAATTCTTTAAATTTGTTATCCTTTCATTTTTTATGACATTTTGCCGTTGTGCTGGTCTACAACCACATGCTTTGCCTTACGCTAGGTCAGTGCACCAGTTTCCAGTGCCGTGTATTTTTAAATCATTTTCGAATTGCCCTTTTTAATTTTTTTTACAAAATTGTATTTGTAAAAGTCCCCTGTACATTCAAAAATTGTTTTTCGAAGTTCTGAACCACCCTGTACAGGATAGATCTCTTCATATTTAAATATTAGAATGGAGGAGCACAAATTTTATCAAATTTTACAATAAAAGTAATACATTTTTTGTGAAATTATACGGAAATACTTTTTATACACGATTAAAAATTGTGTCAGGTTTTTTATAAAAATGGCGGAACCCAATAATATAGTACAAGGCATTCTTTTAAAATTCTAGTAGAATTTCTATAGGAAGAAATCAAAATTAATGTATCGATTATGATTTAAAATAAATAATCTGTGGGGACATACAAGGTGTTAACGAAATAAGTACTCAAAATTGGAGAGTATGTAAAACAAGTCCAAATATGATTAAAACCTTAGTAGAGTTTGTGTCAGTGGCGGCCCCTAAGGAAGATACAGCCCCTTGAAGCGGTAACTCAAGAAACAGTTTTTATTGCATATCTTCAAAACGGTTTAATATTAAATCATGAAATTTTAGGGTTGTTTTACTATTTGTGTGCTTAATAATCGGTATAATATACAAATTAAAGTTTGCTACAGGGGCGTAAGAAAATGCGGGACCATAAGGCAAATTTTACAATTTTTTTTTGTACACAATTTTTTCTACTTCCTGAACCGAAATTATGAAAATTTATCATATTTGCATAAAAAAGTTACTCTTGTTAGATTTTAATAGCTTGGGCCGTTTTCTAGTAAAATCGATTTCAATAATTCATTACTTGCTCAAAAATTCCTGCTGAAAATAAATGTATCAAAATGTGCCATGAGAAAATTACTATTTATGACATTTAACAGAGGTGTCAAGTATATGTCAATTACTGATTAGATTACCTAAACAATATTCCAATCTAAGAAATAGATACTGTAATAAACATAGAATAAACTAAATTATTATAGGGCTACTAGTTGATTGTTAGATATAGAGGAATCCGCGCGGATCACCTATTCACGGCGAGCATTCGACAACGGCAACAGAAATAAGCTTCGTACGGTTTGTATCCGCGCGGTTTTCGCCATATCTTCAATGGTGAAACTACATTTACAATAAAAATTAAATGTTTCATAGGTCTTTTTTTGGTATTTTTTGATTTTCAAATAAAAATAACAAGAGTAATAACATTTTATTATTCAAAATTATTTATGTTACTGTTTACCACAAAACTATCTACTTAACTGTGATATTAAACCCTGATTTAGTAACAGTTACATAACAACTATAATAACGACAATAATAGTACAAATGGAAAATTAAATAAAAATAGTAATTTTCTCTTGGCACAATTTGATACATTTATTTTGTAGTATGAATTTTTGAGCAAGTAATGAATTATTGAAATGGATTTTACTAGAAAACGGCTCATGTTATTGAAATCTAACAAGAGTGCCTTTTTTATATATGATAAATTTTCATATTTTCGGTTCAGGAAGTAGAAAAAATTGCGTACAATAAAAAAAAAATTGTAAAATTTGCCTCATGGTTCCGCATTTTCTTACGTGCTGTAGTAAATTTTGATTTGTATAATATGCCGATTATTAAGCTCATAAATAGTAATACAACCCCAAAATATCGTGATTTAATATTAAACCGTTTTGAAGTTATGAAATAATAGTACATTATACTATAAGGGAGAGAAATGCGTTATTTTGGCAGAGGTGCAATTTGAAGACCGAGGGCGAAGCCCGAGGGCTACAATGCACCGAGGACAAAATAGCATCTCTCCCGAATGGTATATATTTTGTCATTATGAAGTAAGTAGCACCAGAATTATTGTATTCGGATTTGAGCAATTATTTAGTAGTCGTTGAGTTATTATCATAACTACAAAATAAACAAACAAAAAGAATTGTCAAATTGCTAGTTTGGTTTAGTTTAAAGTTTGTTTAGTGCACAATGAATAATTGTGAATCGGAAGAGATTGTGGAGGCTGCAAATATAGCAATAAGCAATTTGCTGCCTACGAAGTCAAGATCTTTATACGATATAGCCTACAATCGGTTCAAAAAGGGGTGCGCCGAGAAAAATGTTCAAGTATACAGCGAGAATGTTTTGTTGGGATATTTCAGTGAAAATGCAAAGAATTACAAGTCTTCCACATTATGGGCGCAATATTCTATGGTTAAGTCATGCTTGATAATTTACGACTACATAGATATAAGCAAATTCCCCAAGCTGATCGCATTTTTGAAAAGAACCGGTGACGGATATCAAGCGAAAAAATCGAAAATATTGACAAAGGGTGAAATCGACCGTTTTCTACCAAGTGCAGATGACAAAGAATTCTTAATGATTAAGGTAAGATTACTTTTGTTGTTAGGTATTTCAATTATTAAGTATTTTGACTTTTATAGGTTGGATTAATTCTGGGGATTGCCGGAGCTTGTCGAACTGATGAACTAGTCAATTTAACTGTAGATGATATTGAGGATGTAGGCTCTTCCTTGATTGTAAAAATTCCAAACACTAAGACAAAGATTCCACGAACCTTTGTGGTTACCGATGTGGGAAATATGCTTGAATTGTTTCGAAAATACCTGTCCCTTCGTCCTCCCCACGTCAAGCATAAGCGCTTTTTTTGTACTACAAAGCAGGAAAATGTAGTTCGCAGCCAGTTGGCAAGAATACTATGGGAAAAATTCCGAGTGTAGTAGCTTCGTATTTAAAAATTACCTGATGCTGCATGTTATACTGGTCACTGCTTACGAAGATCTTCAGCGACATTACTGGCAGATGCTGGTGTGGATATCATGACAATAAAGCGTCATGCTGGTTGGAAATCAACGACAGTCGCTGAGGGTTATGTTGAAAACTCCATTGAAAATAAGACCAAAATTGCTAATCAGGTTTTAGCATGGTATGTACCACTACTAGCGCAATCACAAAAACTGTAAATGTAAGCGAAAGTAATATTCCTTCTAATATTAATTTTGAAAATTGTACAAATGTAACATTTAATTTAAATGTCAATAAATAATTTCAATGTTATCTTTTTTTTTGCACGAAAAACGTTCTCCATAATGTAAACTCCCTTGGGAGCATTATACTCCCTTGGGAATAATCGACTACTTCTGTTTTAATTTTGATGTCATAGAAACTGATTTCTACTCCCGACCGTGTAAAAAAACTGTTTCCTGAGTTACCCTTTCAAGGGGCTGTATTTCCCTTAGGGGCCGCAATTGACAAAAACTACTAAGGTTTTAATCATATTTCGACATGTTTTACATACTATCCAATTTTGTATGTACATTCTCAACAGTTTATTATATTTTATTTGTATTTACAGAGGAAGTTAAATTATAAACAAAAAAAGCAGTTGTGACAGATTTTATGGAAAACTGTTATACTAAATTGCGTGCTATATGCATTATAGTGATTTTTGGATAAATTTCTGTTATTACCTTCCTTGCACCGAGAACCCAAAGTGAAAGGGCCTCTTTTGCACTTAGTAGGGGATGCAAATTATTAGATGTCGATGCATATTCTACATCCTAAAAATTAACGTATACATGGGGATGAATGAGCATGAATAAAATGGCACAACAAAGCATCAAAATGACATATCCATGGTGATTTTTGAGCTTAATCTCATCATACAATTTCATTAAAATTAAATAATTAATTTTTGTGGCATTATCTACAGGAAATTCTCTGCAATCGGATATTTTTTCCACAATTCTCAAGTAATTAAATATATAAGTATAACAACAATTTTTGATTGCAAAGAATTAAACAGTACAATTTTTATTATGTTACTGTTACTTCCAAACTTACTCCCAGAAAAGTCAAATGCGAAAAATATTATTTTATGTATAAATAAATTTGTTATAGGATATAGAAATTCATCATACATCATTTTTCGCTAAATATTAGATACTAAATTACAACTGGATTTAAAATATTTTGTTTTTTTTGTTGTATTAAATTGTGGTGATGATATGATTTTTTATTTAGGTGAGAATAAGTCTGGAAAACCAATATCAAACATGGTTTATTTTCTTGATTCACTAAATTATTAAGAAGAGCAGAAAAATCTCGAACGAATTTAATAGACTGACTGATTGGTAGAAAATTGCAAAAAAACAAAATGAAATAAAATGAAAAAAATACTGACTTTTCAGTTTGTTAAACTTTGGACTTTAGATAGTAGTATTATTATACACTATTTCAAAATAATGAATAAAATGTGTTTAAAGGTAGAGGTCTGAAGAAATGCAATACCCACTCAACAATATCACTACTCAGGTATTAAAAGATAAGTGATGAGAAATTATGACATTTTTGTGTTGCAATCATATAAAGTGTCCACAGTATAAGTACCGTACATTTAATACGTGATAGTGTAGCATTTAAAGTAAAATAAATTACAGTAATAGCTAAAACTGGTTTGTATTTAATAATTTACATTTTCTCATATCAGTTTACTGGATAGGGATAGACCTTTTTAGTAGTGACGTCACATACGCCAAATAATAGGCAACCCCATAGTGCGCATTGTCATGAAGAATTTCTCAATATTTTTACTAGATCGATTTTCGACCTTATGTACTTTGGACATAAGTGCCAAAAAAATGGCTTCTTTGTCATGACCTTAAATATCGCGATATTCTGGCAATATTAGAAATGTTTAAGAAGTTTCGAACCTCAAGTGACAAACTAATAGAATTATAGAATTTATATATTTAAATTTATAGAACAATATTGACTTTAATAGTAATTAATATATTAAAATTATATCAACGTTAGTAAGCATGCGGATTAAAGATAACTTCATTCATGTAGCGAAGTAGCCTCGCAACAGGATATCATTCAAGAAAAGTTTGGTTGTGGTTAAGATTACGTCTATAATAAACCACTTGAAGAAAAAAACATTTGATATGTTTATCACACAATACAATGCCAGAAAAACAATAAAAATACTAGAACTAGAAAATGCCAAGATTAAACAAAAAAGAGAAAATACGCTAATGATGACAGCGATAACATATCAACAAGATCTCACCTGCGTATGAGGCTATTCTTTCCGAGCATGAGCATTAGGAATAAAACGACTAATGTTAAATTTTTACTTTATTTAAATTTAGGAATATTCTTTTATATCGTTTTTTTCATTTGAAGTTGTTCATTTTTATAGTATCTATGTAAATAGTACACAAGACACAAGGGTCAGGCTCGGTCTGTACCAGGGCCCGAGAACTTATACTTGAAAATATGTGGAAACTGGGAACCACGTGACTTGAGATGGATATACAAGTTGGAGAAAGAGTCTATAGATGTCCCCACAAAGATTTTGTAGAATACCAATTTTGACAATTGCAATTATGAATCATTTCATGTAATTTATGTTGTTCATGTTTATTGTTGGTAAGGTTTGGCGAGTGTTGGTGTGTTTTATTTGTGTTTTTAGTGTGTTTTATTAGACATTTCATTCACTGTATAACATAATAATGTCTGATCAAATAATCACATTTTTTTATTAATAATAAAATGGTTTGTTTTTTATTTGTTTTAATAAAAAATGTCTGAAAGTTTGTCGTGATCAGAGGTAGGTAGTTTTTTTTATGGATATCAACACAACGAAAAAATTTAGTTGCATAATAAATCTCTATTACAAGAATTATTCAGATTGGTTTAGTAAAATTATTTACTTGCAATATTTTTTTATTCACTGTCAAAGCTAATACAATATAGAAAGCACTGAAAGCTGCTCTATAATCATTTCCACTCTTTTTTTTTTCAAAATATGTACTGAAATTTGAAATTTTTTCAATAAACATTTCAAAAAGTTAGTATCAAAATTATTTCGTATTTTAAGTAGGAAGGCTATTAGAGCTTTTAAAAGTGTCTTTAATGCTTGAGTGATTTTAATGCTTTTTATCAAATGTACTTATTTTCTCATGGTGACAAAAATTATCTACGTGAAAATTATTTTACAAAACCAATTTCTGAGTGATCTGTGTAGGGTGAGATTTGTTATGTAATTTTAAATTTAGCGGCGGCAGAATACCTAAAATAAATATTGGATAGGTATATAGTTGTAGAGCGTACAACTAGATGGCACCTTTTACCGGCTACAGGTAATTTAACTCGCTGTATTACCGATAATTCCTAGAAAAGGAAAGCAATAGAAGTTGGAGAAAGTGTCAACAGTTAGCCTGTTACTGACCACGAAATTTGTTCAAGTTTCCTATCTACAGTATCATTTATCTAGGGTCTGTACAATTTCAACTATGACAATTTGTTGCGGGTTGCCTAAATATGTGACGTCATAGTAAAAGAGTCTATTGTTAGTTGTAACAGGTTTGTTTCTGCAGCAATTTCCAACGGTTTTAAATTGTCCGGAGTATGCTCCGTTTGTGCAGAACAAATCTCAAACTCTGGAAATTTGTTACACTCGAAGTTTTTTAAACCATCATCAAACCATTTGTTTAGTGCCATATTGGTTGAAGATTTATCTGTGGACTGCTACTCCGAGACATACGCATTAATTTCGGTAATCCAAATTGCTGATATTGCCAGCTTGATTCAACTCTATTATTTTTTGTGATTTAACTAACTTTAAGTTAATTTAGAATGTCTCCGATATGGTTTTTGGTGGATGTAATTCGTGTTTTTTTGCTATTGCCATTTTTTAAGTTTTGCTACTGTAATAGTTACTGCTGCATTGCGTTAGTCCAGAAGTGCGCGCAGCAGCAATGCAAGCGGGACCTTCGAACCACACTACCACAATCGAAGGCCAAGATGTGTGCGGAACGACAGAGATGCTATATGACCGATGGTGAGGTCTCACTTGGATCTAGCCGTAGCATGGCAACTATTGCAATTTCACAGCCATCCTCGCAAGAAATTAGAGCATTTCAATTGCTTATCACAAAAATCGCCAATAACAGAAAAATTAAAAGAGATAGGTATAGGGAAGTGTAATATGGATAGGTAGAGGGTAAAATTTTTCAACAGTTTTTGATTAAGTATACGGGGTGTTCCACTTAGAAAAACCAAGTTTTGACGGTTCAAAGATAAGCAAATTCGACAATAAATATTCACCACACTGTGTAAAACTAAACAGTTTTTAAAATAACTGTAATAAATGATAGGCATCCCTCTATTTCCCAAATATCAATAATTCAGCTTGCAAGATGAAAAACAACTTTTTTTGATAGAATTGAAATCTCTCGAAGACCATTAGAGATAGATATAGGGAAACTTGTTAAAAGTCCACCTAAAATTAGGCGTAGAATCCAAATAAAAAAAATAAAAAAATAAGGAGTGTTCCATTTAAAATAAACAAGTAGATGGTGACTTCCCGTATAACCGGAAGTGCTACAGCAATAGCATTATTTTATTTAAAGAAGACCCGAAAACCCCAAAGCCTAAATTTTATTTTTTTTTAAAATTGAAGTACCTAGTCTCTGAAATATTCTAGTCTACCATCACAGCCTGTAGCTGCAAAGAAATTAAAATCAAAAGGTATACATTTTTGTCTATACAGGGTGATTCACAACTTATCCAAAAAAATTTGGGAATATATACGGCATGAGAAATGGAGCTAATAACTTAAAAAAAATTTTTGTAAAATCCTTATAGTTTCTGAGAAAAAAAATGTTGAAGTTATTAGTACAATCAACCACTACATAGCTGGACAACTGTAGTTTCTAGCGTCATTCGCAATACGCGTGGAGAGTCATGTGACTCCTAATACTGAAATCCGTCGTTGCGGCAGTTTCTACCTGTTCTGTGGTGTTTACATGTTTTTAGTAGTTAATGTCAGAAATGGTTTGCGTGTATAGCAACTCAGAGTCGATGGATATCGTTTTAATTTATGGTGAAGCAAGACAACATTTGTATTATGGTGAAGCATTTGTGTTGTGGTGATCAAGACATCATTTGTGTTAGTTCGTAGAAAGTAAGACGGACCCAAACGTGTTAACACGTTAGTGGATAAAATTTTGAACAATTGTTGTAACATCGGGTATGTCAAATGATTTTATTATTTAAAAACACAAATTAATTTTATTAATTAATAAAGGCAAAAGCAGTTGAATTTGCCGATATAAAATAGGTGCTATAAAATTCTATTTACATATTTCTTTCTTTGCGAAAGTTTTTGTCCGTTTTTATCATATCGCCATGCCGGTCGCATTGTGCGAGGTCAGGTTTTACAGTGGACCAGTTTCCAGTGCCGTGCAGAAGTGTATTTTTATATCATTTTCGAATTGCCCTTTTTTATTTTTTCTTTACAAAATTGTATTTGTAAGGGTCCCCTGTACATCCAGAATTTTTTTTTTTTTGATAAGTTCTGAATCACCCTGTATACACTTATTAATCCAGATTAATTCCTTCAAATTTGTCACTGGATACCATTTTTAATGTTTTCTTAAATCAGTCAGTCTTCCAAATTGTTTTCCTTACTCACTCAGTTATTCATGATCAGTCACTTACTGAAACACGAAACTATTGCACTGAAACATGTATATTTACACAAAATTAGCTATAGATAATTTTAAATTTTAATAATTGAAAACTGGGGTTAATAGCAAAAATACATTTAGCTGCCTCAGTAAAACGAATGCATAAAGAAAGTACAATGCCTTTGGCTGCAGCACTAGTTGCCGTGCTATGGTTAGATCCAAGTCGAGGTCTCAAGTCGCTACTTGCAAATAAAGCCTAAAAAATATGTATCAGCTTTGGAGAAGAACTCTTTAATTATTATATCTCTATCATGTCCAACGAGTGCAGAAATGTTACCCACAAACAGTAGGTATTACTGTTTTAGAAACATCTCAATAGTTTTGTGGACAAAATTATAGTTACAGGTTACAGACAATATTTATCTTATTCTTAACAGAATCTTTAATTAATTTTCATGTCGTTATTTAAAACTCAGTAAAATTAAGCTAATTATATTGAACATACGGTACTTATACTGGGAATGTATCACGACTCTATAACTTTATAGTAGATTTTTTTGTTGCATAAAGAAATATGTACAAGGAAAACATGAAGTTTTTTATTTGCTCCGAGAAAATAGGTAATGATAATGATGCCATTTACTTGGTAACTTAATGAAATGAACGTGCCAATGTGAGACTATTGTGACAATATACTGAAATTGCTTACCTTTATATTCTCTAACTCGTTCTTAGTAACCTGTAGCTCTTGGAGAAGTTCTGGTACTGATACCCTGCTTGGATTTTGATGAGCCAGTTCCATAACCTAAAAATATGCTAATGATTAATTATGCCATAATGTTATGAATTTTTTATTTCCTGAATTATTCAAAAACATTAATTCAATGATTTAAAACAACTGTTTGTTTCAGATACAAGCTATTGACATTTTAAAAAGTGTAGCATTTTCTCAAGTATTGGTTGTAGGCCGATGAAAGGTCTAATTACTAATTGAAGTAAGGAGTTGGATTTAGTGAATTAGTATACAATATGTCGATTTGAGGCAATGCAATTTCTTTTCAATAGTGTCGGTAAGAAAAGTCAAAGTCAGCACCAAATGTCAAATAGGTAACGTTTTCAAAAATAAAAATATACAAGTCAGCCTAATTTTTGTAGTCAAACTTTGGCAGTGCACAGAAAACTCATCCTAACGAAAAAAGTTCTTATAGGCATAGTCGTAAAACACTTCCTTTTCGAGATGCAGACTGTTGAAACTTAAAAAATCACATTTATTCAAATATCTCTCAATAAGTTTCAAGTTAATGCGATGAAAAGTTCACTGCTGGAAACAGTGTTCCTAAAAAGTCTAGAGTTTAGAAGCCTCTGAGTATTTTAAAAATTTGATAAGAGCAGTTTAGCTTCAGTTAGATTTCTAATAAAAAAAAATTTAAGTATCACGTTAAGAGCGCCAACCTGACGCTGGACCGGTCTAACAGTTGCAAGCGACAAGGAACAGACGAATCTGCAACGCAGGACACACACACACTATGGTTCCAGGAAAAGGGCCACAGATTGGCGCTAGGGACTAAATACATTTACCTGCGAGCGACTCCACAAGAGGACTCTCAACCGAACGGTAGCCCCGACATTTCTTTTCACTGCACTCTTGTTTTCAATAAAAAATACCTTTTATTTAGCGTTGAGAAAGATTTTGCTACACACCAAAGCAACCCTCACCATTTTCTTTACAAACCGAGCTATTTTTGAGTTATTATTTTTTTAATTTAAAACATGTCAACGACAGTTGAATAAATTGAAAATAAGTCCGAAATTATTCGTTTCACCAAAAATATGTTTTGTTAAAAAATAAATTGAGTTAAGATGGTATTTATAAATAATATTTTTAACATAAAATAATAATATAGTTCTTTTATGGAACGAACTAGATTTATTTTCGCCTCATTCCCTAAGTCGTACAGATATTTTAAATTAAAAATAATAACTTGGAAATAGATAATTAGATCGAATAAAATGGAAGCCATCTTTTTTGTTAGAAATGCCAACCGGAATTAAATGCACTTATGCGATTTTCAAAATACTCCCTGGCGTTCAAATTCCAGAATGTTTAATGAGAGTGTCACCCAGTATCTCCGTCACTGGCTGATATAATCTTAAACCAGTTCTGTAAATTTTTGCCTATATTAGTTAAGGTCAAACTTCATTAATCTACGTTAAATATCGTAAAGAGACACATGAATAAATGTGAAATATTGTTTAAACTTTAACGCTATCTCACGAAAATAAAGTGTTCTACGCCTATGTTTATATGATTTTTTTTCTTAAAATGGGCTCTACTATTGGCTGTTAAAGTTTGAATGTAATCTAGGTATATTTCGAATACTTACAAAAACTATAAAAAATACAAACTTTATCTGAAATGGAAAAAGTTAAAAATTGAGTTGAATAGACTCTTTTAGTGTGACGTCACGTATTTGATTAATTTATTTTTACAAGGATTTGGAAGTATTTAAGAACAATCAACACGTGTTTCGTAAAATAGATACACTAATGTTCTTAAAACTTACAAAAACCGATATAAAAGAATATTCCTAAAAAATAAAGTAAAAATTTAACATTAGCCGTGTTATTCCTAATGCGCATTCTCGGAAAGAATAGCTTCATAGGGTGAGATCTTGTTGATAGTTATCGCTGTTATAATTAGAGTATTTTCTCTTCTTTTGCTTAATCTTGGCGTTTTCTAGTTCTACTAAGTATTTTTATTGTTTTTCTTGATGTTGTCTGTGTCAGTGTGTTTATCGAGTTTTTTTTTCTTCAAGTGGTTTATTATAGACGTACTCTGAAGTCTGAAAACAATCAAACCTTTCTTAATGATATCCTGTTGCGAGGCTACTTCGCTTACATAAAATTATCTTTAATGAGCATGCTCAGTAACATTGATATAATTTTAATGTATTAATTACTATAAAATTCAATATCGTTCTATAAATTTAAATATATAAATTCTATAATTCTTAATAGAATTTATAATGTTTGTCACTTGAGGTTTGAAACTTCTTAAATATTTCTAATATTGCCAGAATATCGCGATGACAAAGAACCATTTTTTGGCAGTTATGTCCAAAGTACATAAGTTCGAAAATCGAACTAGTAAAATTATTGGAAATTCTTCATGACAATGTGCACTATAGGGTTGCCTATTATTTGGCGTATGTGACGTCACTACTAAAAAGGTCTATTAAGTATTCTGTTTTTTGGTCATTCTACTATTTGCAAATAGCTTCTATTCTAAAAGCTTTTAAGAAATTTCACAGAAAATAATTGTATACTATAGTGAGTATGTGTGAGATATACAGAGTTACATCTTACATAGTTACTGCTATTCAAACCGGCATTTTCATAGGTACATTGAAAGCTACATAGGTATCGTACAAGACAAAACAAAGTTCTTAATAAAGTTTATTATATTATAGGAAAATCATTTCTGAGGATCAATATTAATTATTACACCCACAATATCTAGTAAGCACCTAAAATAATTCGTCAGCAAAACCACCAAATATATACAGGTTTTGAATTTATTACATTCATCTGCATGCTATAGATGGGATAACGGATAACCGATGAATGATCTAGTTATTTTGCTGTCTATCACGGTGTGAGTTTGGGTCAGACATAATGACCACTTCTACTTAATGTCTAGGCCTTCAGTACGGCCAAACTGGCAGAGAGTGACCCACTATTTCACAAGCACTATGAAAGCAAGAGTGTCACATTAGGGAAATAAGAATATTCTTCGGCGTGCTTATAAGAACTAAGTGCACCAAATTGGATATGGAGATGCAGAAAAACACAATAGATTGTAGTAATATTGTACTTTATTCATAATTTTGAAAACGAAAACAGATTGATTTTGAAACGTTAACCAATTTTAGTTGAAGTGCTTGACTGTTCCTTTAATGCAACAGTTTGTTTGGCTAACTTTTTTTAACAAGTAATGAAATAATAAATATAAAATAAACAGAAAAAAAATTAATAAAACCATTTTTTACCAATATTTTTTTCTAAAGGGCGCCTATATTTAGACAACTTTCTATACAGTGAAAGAATTTTTAACGAATTCAGTAGCACCATTGAATAAGAAAAGGATTTATAATAATCGCGTTGGTGCAGGTACTTATTCGGCAGGGAATAGCATGGACAATGCAATCTCCTATTGAGGAAATACCATTCTGAGCGTGAGTTTATTGGATCGTCGATTCAATTAATGCATCGTACTAGTTCTAGTTCCTGTTTTGTAGTTAAGTACGTTACACGCTTCAGTTTATATGTATATCATATAACGTTCATAACAGTCTGTACAGATATAGATATATAGGACGGCATACTTTGATATTTCGACAGAGAAAGTATACGCCAATATTGTGTGCGGAACAAATTTAGGATTTACTATTATTTTTTTAAATACAAGTTAGTACCAGGAAGCGAAAAATGAAGGATCTAGTTCAGTATCTAATTTTAAGCAAAAATGTTAAGTTTCTTATCAGGTTTCGCTATTCAGATATCAAGGTCGACAACTTTCAAAGATAAATTTCGAATTTTACAAGAGGCAACAGTATTACAACATTTATTCAAAAATAAAACACATTATTTTACATAGTCATTAATTGTTCTTTATTAGTATTTGATTCTCACTGTACTGTGTTTGAAGAACATGCAGATATTATTTTTGTTTATGCTTCAGAAAGTTGATTTCCAATTGTACAAATATCTCGATATGTTTTCCGATTACAAAATATTAAATAGAACATGCAGAAAATATATCTCGGCTCCTATTGGTCGAATCGAGACGCATTTTTTTAAAGTTGATGTTTTTTTAAGCACTATTTGTTGCAATTGGTTTGAATTCTGTATATTAAAAAATCGCCGAGAAAAACACCCTGGTTACCGTTTTTTTTTTTTTTGGTTTCTTGTTAATAACTTTTATATTTTGTAACTGAAATTTAAACAGACGCGAGATAATGTAATTACGGTCGATAGCCGCACGGTTTAAGGCGTCAGTACTTAAATCGATGTGTCGATCTGCCCGGGTTTCGAATCCCGCGGCCGGTAGACCGTAGATTAGCTATGCTTGTACGGAGGATTGGTACCCTCTGTGCAGGTATGGTAGGGTGGAAGAATGTTGGCTTGGGTCAATGTGAGAGATTGACACCGGTTGGCATTTGACCGCCCCCCTAATTAATGAGGTTTTCCAGGTTTCCCTCATTCCTGCACTGAATGGTGGTTAGGGCCTACCAACATAAGTCGTTCCTGGGCGCAAATGCGGCCTGCGTAATAATAATATGCCGCCTCCTTTCCTGCACAAGTCTCCGACTTCTGGGCTAATTCTCGTAGTTAGAATGAGGAGTAGAGATATTATTATTATCCTTTTATCTTGACTTGAGCAGAAGATATACGCGCTCACGTTTTCGACTTAATAATTTAATAATAGGCCGCGATTTTGAAATTGGGGGTCCGGATTGCGGGTATTTGTTGAGTACACCAATAGTTATCTTTTCTTGTAGTTTCATCGAATTTCAGTCAAATATATTATTTTTATTAATTTCTGAAAATTTAGCACATATTTTCTTTCACCGCTAATTTTGCTATGTAAAAAAAATTTGCGAGCTTTCGCAATTAAGTATTCTTCTCTAGCAAATACCTCATGTCGATTAGAGGCTTAATTTCGGAGATATTATTTTTTTTCTTTTGTATTTGTATTTCTGGGTATTTTTTACTTAATTTTAAGACCATAAAAGTCGAGTTAGGCGCGATTTTTGAAACAGGCATGTGTTTGGTCTAATTCGCCCAGATTAATAGGTCAGACCACGATTTTCAGTCGCTGTTAAATCATACCTGGATTTTAAATGCTGATTTGTCGATTATGTGTATTTTTAAGCATTTTTTGATGAAATCCAATTCAGCGGCTTGGAATGCATGGGAATAATATATTCTGATCATTTGCACTTTTTTTTGAGGAGCTGTGTTATTATTTTCACGATGGCTTCTCAAGCAACACGAACGAAATCCCAATATTTTAGTTCTATTTTATGGTCCGACGAAGTTACTTCTACCCGAGCTTCTACTAGAAATGGATTAGGTTAATAAATATCAGAATGAGCAAGTAAGATTAATACAAAATCATCATGTATTTAGGAGACACAAGATTTCCTTTTAACATGTCGTTGTGTGGAATTTTCAACGGTCATCTATTACCGGTACAACATTTCCCACATCGTTTAAATGTCGTCTCATTTATACAATTATTGAGCAACCTGTATGAGCTATTAGTAGATGTTCCGCTTGCACTGCGCAATATGATGTGGTATCAACACGAACAGGTTTCGGCACATACCACAAGAGATGTGGTAGAATAGTAGGTACCATTTTAATGCAAGGTGGATAAGTAGACGCGGTCCAATTGAGTGGCCTGCTAAAGCGCCAGATCTTAGTCCACTGGATTATTACTTCTGGGGTCACATAAAATAAAGTTTATTTAGAAGAAATAAATACTTCAAAACAGAGTTATGGATGAAACATAACCTTTAGTGTAAGATAATATGTTTTCTTTTTGTATAACCCTTATACAGGGTGGCCAAATGAAAACGAAACAGAGCCATTTTCAGAAACTGCGTCAAGATTGTAGAAAAACGCTCAGACTCATCGATTTTAGATTAAAGGGGACATTCTTTGCTGGTATTTTTTACTCCGCCACTTTCACCCCCAAGCAAGGGTAAGCATCACCCCAAAATATTTAAATGGCATTTGGGGTTGAGTAATATTTCTTTTAAAAGCTCTTACAATTCTCTTTACAACAGACTATAAATTTTATAATTCTGCCCAATACTTTGAATAAAAATTACATTTTAAAATTTAAATTATGTTTAGTTGCTTACTTACTACTTAGTTGATTAAATGTTCAAACTGATAACCGCCCGCTTCCATACAAGAATAAAGATTTTGTTCGAAACGTTGGCGCACATTCCGAAGCATTTTCGGAGTGATTCGACGGCATTCGTCGACGATTCTTTGAGCTAATCTTCCAGGTATCCCCACAAAAAGAATTTAAGGGGCGATAAATCCGGTGATCGTGGAGGCCATTCAATGCTGCCTCTTCTTCCAATCCAATTCCGTAGAAAACGTTGGTCCAAATACTGACGGACAATTAACGCATAATGCGGAGGAGCACCGTCCTGTTGAAAAATCAAACGATCTGCATCATACTCTGGAATATTTTCAATAATATCAGTCAAGGCAAGGTCAATAGCGTCTTCCAGTAATTGCAAATACATTTGGCCAGTCAAATTACCAGGTAGAAAAAAAG